TATATATATATATATATATATAAAAAGCAATTCTAGAGGAACTGGAATTGGTACCATATGTCTACGTTAAGAATGCAAAATAAAAGATATCAAACTATCGCACTAGTTAGTAAGATAACTTCAAAGGTAGTTTCGCAGGGATTAGGATAATGTAACTGAACTACAGTGACCACCTTTCCGGATATTTCATGCGCTGTGCTGAAGGAAGAAGCCTGACTAGAATTTTTTTGTTTATTCTGTTGTTCTGGAATTCTTCTGGTTACTCGGACGTGGATCTCTCCACTTCGTACTCCTTGCAAAGGTATCCACTTATCAGCTACTTGATTTGGAGGCAACATTTCATATTCTACTTCACAATCACCAATATTGGTCTCAGGGAGCACAGCATTGTGGTCTTTCACATACAAAACCAAGCGACTACCAGTGTCAGGAAACTCCAGAGTTTGATTCCACTGAGGATTTAGTGTTCTGTATATAACCTGCAGGTTTTATTAGTCAGAATCAGATGAAAAGAAAGAATAAGAGAAGAAAGAAGTGTGACATGATATTTTACTCCTAAATAGTAAAAAAAAAATAAAATTTACAGAACAAGTAAGAGCGACAATGTATTCATGTTTACTTCCACAAAAAATTGGTGGAATGAAAAATAATTGAATGTTTTCACATCCAAGCTTGACATTTATAGGCAGGTTTATTCATATAAATGTGATTACATGCATTTATATTTATCTTCACCAACATAGAATAGTTCTCTGCTGGATATTTTGAAGGACCTACATTATTTAAATAGCTGCTGCAGTCACCAACTAAATGGAAAATTGATTATGTACAGATTGTTAATCTGAAAAGATTATTAACATTTTATAAGTTTTTTTTTTTTTTGAGTTTTCATTATATTTTAGTAATTCCATATCACAAGATCACAATTCCAATTAATTTTTGCAAGAATTATAAAATATAAAAACTTGTCCGAAGTTTGGCATTGCCCAAAACTTCTTATATGCCCACTGGTGTAAATTTCCTATTATTTCTATGGGATCATTTTCGTTTTTTATTTTCTATTTTAAGTTCTTTTTTTCTTTTGTTGATTATATTTTGATTTGTTAAAAGATGTTTACAATGTTGAAAATAAACCAGCTTTTTTAGTTTTCAGTGCTTTAAAAAATAAGTTAATTTTAGATAATTTGAAGGTTTTAAAAAAAATTGATCTGTTTTTAAAATAAAAAATAAAAAATATGAAAAATTCACCAAATAAACATAATTTTAAAAATAAAAATAATACGCATAAAAATTACAAAATTCACAAAAGAACTAGTGAATTGAATTCTGCTAGTGAGGCATTCCCCAAAAGCAATGTGCAAATGACTAAAACCTTTTGTAGAGAGAATGTGTCACTTGTAAGAGATTTACCATAATCTGATAGTGGCGAAAAGTAGGAAGTCATCCAAGGTGAATGACTAGGTTTAAATCAAATATTAGAATTTTTAATATATATAGAACTTTGGGATTTTGAATAAGAAAACAAGAAAGTTGATTTAACTAAAAAAATTTTAAAAATAAATAAATCTTGCTAAATTATTAAAAACTAAATAGAAAGAAGAAAAATTAAAGAACCTTGTAAGAGTTTATAAATTATTATTTTTTAGACAGTGGCAAAACCAAGGATTTTTAATGGAAACATGCAAATTAATTAATCTTATTGCGTGAAGAAAATTGAATATTTATAGTAGCAAACATCAAATAGCCAGATTATATGGGTCAAGCGCCAAAATCCATCCTTGATGTTAGGATGGTAATGACGGAGTTGAAATAATAGCGTATAAAGAGTTGGAGATAGTGGACAGAGAATTAAAGGACAATAGATAAAAAGTTTAAAGATAAATTCTTGTGAAAAAAAAGATAAAAGATAGAATGATTGCTATTATCTGTGATGATATTATGAATGTTGATAATAATTATACTCCACAAATTGGATTATAATATAGTTTAAATAATCAATTTTAGGGATAAATGAATAAACTACTGTAGCACTGACGTGAGGCTTTCCCCCTTCTTGCTTCGAATGCGGGTGCGGGATTTTCATGTAAAATGAATATACATATGTGTGTGTTTGTGTGTGTGTGTCTGTGTGTGTGTCGTTACTTCTGATGTAGTCAAAATAATTTTAAATTAAAAATTTACATTAAAATTTTCTCACTTAATCTACAATTTAATTAAACCTACTATTAAAAATTAATAATTAAACATATATATGAAATTCATAAATTAACATTTTTAAAACCTTGTCGTTACTAAACCATAGTTTGGTCTTCTAAGCCGCACACGCTTGCTCTTCTCCTTCCACCAAACAGAATCCCATCATCCTTCCTCATCTTGTGCTTGATGCTTCTCCTCTTTCTTCAAACTGACCGAAATCGTGCCTCCTGTACACGATAAAAGGGCACCTTCACTGTGGCCGTCGTCTTCCTTCTTCATGTGAGATGTTTCTCTCGCTCAAGGCATCATCTTTTCCCTTCGTGGGTTTCAGCTCGTTGTTGCCTTCGTAAACACAAATCGAATGCAAGGATTGCTCATACTTTCCTCCAGCAAGTGACATCACTCCTTGTTGTCACCTACCTTCTTTTTCTTGAGAGCATGCGTCCTGATACGCTTTTATTTAAGCATCGTCGCCTTTCAAGCGAGGAGTTTTCCCCCTCGACGCTCATTTCTCCTCGCTTGAAGGCAAGGTCATTCTTCCTTCCTCTTCCACTTCATCTTTGCCCGTAGTGCCTGAATCGTCAACGATGCACAAGAGTTAAGTCGTTCACCTCCTTCCTTTGTTTGTTGCTCACAACAATCGACAGAATTGTTCGTCTACTTCTTCTTCATTTGCTTTCTCTTATGCTTTCGCACTCACTCCTCTCCTCTTTTACACACATTGTCTCTTGCTTGTTTCGGTCCTTCGGTTCGAATGAAACTAGAATAAATCCTTCATTTTGATTTCCCGATAGCATCGCGACTATTTCAATAAGTGTCGTGAGGGGGATTAAATTTCATTTTATTTATTTTATTTTTTATCATAACAATCTCCTCTTCTTATAAAAATTTTGTTCTCAAAGTTTTCATAATCCAATACAAGTCTTAAATCATTGCAAAAAACCCATGAACTATCCATAATTTTTATTAAAGAGTTTATATCTCATTATTTATAATGGAAAGTCGATACAATAAAATAAAATAAAAGTCTGGTACAAAATCACTCAACTAAACTTCCCCCATCAACTAAAACAAGCTAACATCACAGTCAAAGCAAGTTGACATAATAACACAACACACATCAGCTGAAAAAAAACAGAGTACAATGATACTCCTAGAACATGCAATAAAACATTACACTTATCAATCACTAATAGCATCAACATCAGCAGCACGTTCTTCAGACTCTGCTAGTAAGGGAATAAAGTTGAGGTCAAAAAGTTTGTCTTTATTGAATGTTAAACTTGAGTTGTAGATTTTATCCTTCTCTGCCCACCTACAATCCTCTGTGAAGGAGCTCCAGCTGATTTATACTCTTTTGAGAATTTTTGGCCAAGTGATGTACAATATGTAGCTATATGACCAGGCTGGCGGCACCAGTAGCATGTAAGAGAGCCCATTAAACATTCACCTTAATGTTACTTTCCACACTTAGCACAAGTGACTATGGTATTTCTAAAAGAACAACCACCGAATCTATCATAATTGAACTTAGGCTTCTCCCCATTGGATCCCTCTGATTGGTTCGCATGTTCTCTCTAATCAAGACCCATCCTCTTGTGCATATCTCTTTACAATTCTAAGAGAGCTGATAATCAATTTCTACTCGCCCAGCCCGTTCTACCAACATGGAGTGATCATCAATTCCCAATGGCACCAATGGCTCTCTTTCTTCATACCAAACGAATCCCTCCCTCCTTCCTCTTCTTCCACTTGATGCTCTTCCTTTTTCTTCATAACAAACGAAATTGAGCCTCCCATACGCGATAAAACGACACCTTCATTGTGGGCGTCATAGTCTTCCTTCTTCATTCTGTGAGACGTTTACCTCGTCCGCGGCATCATCTTCCCCATTCACAGGCTTTGGCTTGTTGTTTCCTTCGACTACACAAATCAAACAAAGATCACTTGATTCCTTCTTCCAACAAGTGACATCGCTTCTTCCTTGGAGTCATCTCCCTTCTTCCTAAGCACATGTGTCCCGATAAATTTTGTGTCGCCTCTTTTCTCCATTTTTAAAAATAAAGAGGATCCACAAGTGTGTAAATTATAGAGAAATTAAGTGAATGTGTTATACATCAAAATTATGGGAGAGTGTAAATGAAAATAGGTTAAAACGTGATACAAAAATTTCTCATAATTAGTTTAGATTTATGTCGAGCAAGTTTACTATGGAAGCTATACATATATTGAGAGGTTTGATGGACTGAGAGGTTCGAAGGAGAAGAACAAAGAGAGCAAGGAGGATATATATAAATTACTTGTGTTCGAACAAAAGGGAATTGGCCAAGTATTTTTCTATTTAAGTTCGATTACATCATAGATTGACTTTAAGCTCATATTTTTTGTTTTAGATATGGTATTATTGGACATTTATATGAGGATGTACCATGGTGTATGCTTTTTGCTGATGATATCTTTTTTGTGGATAAGACTAGAGAAAGATTTTGAATTATGGAGGTATACTTTAGAGTTTAAATGTCTTTGTTTGAGTAGATCTAAAATTGAATATACGAAATATAATTTTAGTAGTAGTAAATCTAGTGACAGTTGTAATAATGGGTAATCAAATTATTAAAAGGAGTGAACGGGATAATGGGTAATCAAATTATTAAAAGGATCGCGGTAAAGGGAACTCCCGTTAGTGAACTGATTGGCCCAATTGAGGCTGATCCAAGGGAATCCCGAGCCGAACAACTCGGACGAGAATCCTGACATAGCAAGTGGCCCCCAACGCCCCGTCTCGTGCCTTTTTTTCATCCCACTTGATCAAGCGGCCTTTTAGAAAGGGCGGCATTGTCGCCTCCTTTCCCCACCTTCCTTTTTTGTGATTTCCTTTTAGGGTTTTCCTTTTCTTATTTTTTTCCCACCTTCCTTATAGGGTTTTCTGGATTTATGATGGTTTAGTTTTTGTTGTATTGATTTCAAATTCCTGTGTGGAGTCATTTTCCCTTTTGGGTATCAGACGATGAGGTGGCACTCCAGTTGTATCCTACTCCAAGGTGGTGATTGTATCTTCCCATTTATCTTCCCTTCTACTTCTCGTCCAATTCCTTTAGCTGCCAGCCACCTCCAACAGCTTCCCCCTGCCTGCCGACCCCCTTATAGCTGCAGTAACCTGCTTTCCAGCCTTTCAAGCCCCCTTCTGACAACCCGTCAACTCCCCTACAGTAGCTACCTTGTTGTCCCAGCCTACCCAGCTGTTGTCCCACCTTCTCAGCATGCTACCCCACCTTCCAACCTA